TGTGTGTTTCTGCACATTATATAAGCATGTAGGGTATGTCTAACTTCATTTGCAAAATATTAAGAGTAATTTTTCAGCCATACATGATGAAGAAAAATAGTACATACAATTAGAAACACCTTAACAATTCTATACCATGTATACTAAAAGTGCTGACGGATGAACCATTGCATACCTTTGAAAAACTGAGAGGACGGTGATCAATGAACTCTTAGCTTCACGGACGGCCGGACGGCAAGATCAAGACGGGTCAACGACGGCACGGTGCAAGAGAGCAAAAATCGGGAGCGAAGCCAGGGCCGGCAGCCGGTAGGCTGTAGCGGCGGCAGCTAGCAGGGCGCTGAGCGGCGGCAAGCGGCAAGAAACTGGAGCGACGGTTGAGTCTCAAGCGACGAACACAAAGACGATGAGGCAGTGATCGCGATGTGTTTTTTCTATTCTTTGATTGAAAGTAGCGATCCCTACGGATGAATGGATGTGCGAGAAGCGATGCGACGCTTGACCTTTTCCTCGCTAGCGATCAGCCACCAAGTCCATCATGCATTCACGCTGCTCCTTCTACTTTTTTTACTGGGCTATACATATACATGCATCACCAATCATGGGCCCCCTACCAGACCTGGGCCCTAGGCGGTCGCCCCATCCGCCATACCCCAGGGCCGGCCCTGACGCTATGGACGGTCCGAAATAGGCTTGTGATTCAATGTGCGCCTCTTCGACGTGCTACTGACGCGATTTTCAAAATGGGTGGCTATTTGCAGCTCTGGCGGCTGCTTAGCCACCCGCAGGATCGGGACGCCATCGACATCTTCATTGCAGATCTTCGTCCGTTGCCCTTCCGCTTGGCTCATCCACTTCCCCCACCACCTCCGGATCTGGATTGGGTATTGGGTGCCGCTCTGGACCTTTTGGGGCGCCCCCTTGGCCACTGCTTCCTTTTTCTTTCGTTTAGGGCTTGTTGAGTTGTGACCTCAGCAGAACCCTGTTGTGCGATGTTTGTGTGCTACATGTGTGTGTGTGGTGTGAACTTATCTGTTGTATCTTTCTCGCTCTGGTGTTTGCTTTATATATAAAGCGGCGTGATGCGGAAAAGCAGGGCGCTGCTGAACGAAGTCAAGCCGTCAAACTCGATATCTTCGTCGTTGTCGCACCAGGTCTTGACAGTCGTCGTCGTTCTCCCGCCACCCCGTCCTGGTCACCGTCGTTGTGCCGTGCATCACTACCATGCATGCACCGCGTCGAGGTCGCTGCTCCTCGGCCACCAAGTTTGTGCCGCAATTGCATATTCACTGGCCAGCAGTAGAAGGGTCGAGCAGCTACACACATGCCCGCACCAGGTTAGCCAACGATTCCATATTTTTGGTTCATTTTGGGTTCGACGAATTGGGTGCTGATTCACTAGCGATCTGAGCAAATATGAACCCCGTTCTAAATCAATCCATCGGAATCGGCACTCAAAGGCTGTTTTAGCGAATCCGATAACTACGTGACAACCGAAGGTCCAAGACGTATGCGGCGTTGGTACCGCCTTTCCCGCGGCGAGTAATCCCCAAAGGCAAAGGAAGGCATGCACTATCAAGACAAAAGGAGAATGGGAGGCAACCGCTCTGTTTTCCACACCAAAACGCTCTGTGGCGCTTGTTATTCTTGTTTCGCCGAGGCTTCTCGTTCCCATCGCGTGCTTTGGAGGTGCTTGGGTCTCCACTGCGGTTACTCTTCCGAGCTAGCCAGTTGTCTTCGGCTACGCAGAATCAAGGCATTAAGTGTGAGGGCCGCCGTAGACTGAGGCTTTTCCTGTCTGAGCTCTCTAGCGAGCCATTCATTGCGGATGTTGTGCTTAAAAGCGGCGATTGCCTTGTCGGCCATGTAGTCCACTATCTGATTTTTCTTTGTCAAGAACCGATTCCAGAATTTTCTGGCCGACTCCTCTGGCTTCTATGTGATATGGCCGAGGTCATCGGCATCCAGGGGTCGGGCGTAAGTGCCCTGGAAATTTACTTAGTAAGCATCCTCAAGGTCCCCCCCAGTTGCCGATGAATCTTTAGGCAGGCTATTAAGCCAATGCCAAGCCGATCCCTTGAGTTTCAAGGGTAGCTACTTTATGGCGTGGAGATCATCGCCTCAGGCCCTGTGGATATGCATGAGGAAATCCTCGATCCACATAGCGGGGTCCGTAGTTCCTTCATACTACTCAATGTTATGGGTTTAAACCCTAACGAAAACTGGTGCCACATAACCTCATCGGTAAAGCACATAGGGTGGGCAGCTCCTTGGCCCCTGGCTGTAGCATGACGCGCATCGGACACGATAACGTGTCGGTCACGCGTGTAGTTTCGTACATCACCATGCTTGGCGAGCCAAGCCAGATAGCCCGCCTGTCCAGCAGGCTGGCGTTCCCTGGATTTGTAAATTGATCAAGATGGAGGCTTTGTCCTTAATGGTGGCCTCTCTCGTAGATTTTTTTTCTTGCGGGGCTGAGTTGGATTTACTCCTCCTCGGCACCCGGTTGTCTCGAAGACTTCCTCATTCCTGCCGGTAGGCCAATCTCGGCCGCGAGGAGGGCGATCGGGCACTTCGGCCCAGTCGCGCTTTTATAGCACGTTGCCATCGGCCTCCCCATCGAGCTCCGACAGCAGGTTCCTTTTGGGGTATAACCAATTAGCGAAGGCATGTCTATCCTCGAGTTCTTGTTCAACCCTCAGGAGCTCAATCCATCGATCATTGAGCTGATCCTGATCGGTTCTGAGTTGCTGGGATTTTTTCTTGTAGCTCTTGGTCGTGCTGGTCAGGCGCTTGCGGAGTGTCTCTGGCCGAGGCTCCTTGAAGGTAGGCAGCGGCGGCATGTCGTCTTCCTCCTCGGGAAGATAGGCAGCGGCGGCAGCTGGGTCAACGTCGTCTCCCTTGATAGCGTCGTCACTGTGCTTGTTCGCGCCGAGGTCGTCGCCGGCATGCGGGTCGTTGTTGCAGTCATGAGCGGTGCCGCCGTTGGTCTTCTCACCACCACTTGTGCCCCCATTACTTGCGTCGTTGTTGCCTGTGCCACCATTACGGCGGCCTCATCAGCGGCATTTGGGTGGTTTACTGCTTCCTCCCCCATCTTTAAGGGTGTCCACCATGTAGACATCATAGGTGGAGGTAGCCGACCATGCACCGGTGACTGCCTCCTCGAAGGTGCTTGCTAAAACATCGTTTAAGTCCTCGACGGTAGCGACTAGATGGGTAGAGGGTGGACCGAAAATTCCGAACTCTCCAACCTTCTCCCAGATCTGATCGTAGATCGAGGCATGATCGTATGAGATAGTAAGGTCCTGAATCCGATCTAACATCTCGTTCAGAAGGGTGATGTCGGCCTCACCCATCTCCTAAAAGTAGGCGGGGATCAACTAAAGTTTGCCAGAGGTGCCACTGGATGCAGCCTCGGCAGTTGCGTCGGTAAGATCTGACGTCTGACTCGACGGGGTAGTACTCGGATGCAAGCTAGAGGCTAGACCTGAGGTTTGGGCGGTTCCGAGGCCCTGCTGCGAGATTGAATCTGGTGCTAGGACGATGGCGTCAGTGAGATCTCCAGTCTGGTCTGCCACCCAGCCCGAAACGGTTAGCTCGCCATGGGAGTCACGACATACTCTAGATTGCGAAACCTGATGGTCTGGCCTGGGGTGAGATTCTCGACCTAGCCGAGGTGGCCAGTTGAGTCGGCGTGCAGCACAATGCTGCCGAAGGCAAAAGGTTGTCCGAGGAAGGTCTTCCCGCAGCCAATGTTGTCGTCATCCGAAGATGAGCCATCGCGCCTTTGTGACCACACAGTGGGACCTGCATAGGCCAGCAATGTTGGAGCTAAATACGGCAGATCTCGGGTAGGGGTCCCGAGCTGGTGATCTCGGCTAGATGGTAACAGGAAGTAGGAGAGACGGTGTTTACCCAAGTTCGAGCCCTCTCGAAGAGGTAAAACCCTACGTCCTGCTTGTATTGTATTGACTGTGGATGGGGTATAAAGTACAGGTTGATCTACCTCGAGATCGTATGAATGAGTCTAAAAGTCTTACCTCTATGGACTAAACCCCTCGGCTTATATAGGGGCCGAGGATACCTAGGGTTACACATGGTCGGTTGCATCTAGAGATAAACATGTCGAATATTTGAATATGCCTTGAAGCGTGCGCCAAGTCTTCGAAAGATTCAATCTTGAGTATGCCGAGGGTCATGGCCCATTCTTCGGTTGTCGGTGGGCCTCAGCCCGACCCATGAATGGTAGGCCGACGTTGTGAGTACCCCCTAATCCAGGACACCATCGGACGGGGCTCCGAGTGCCCAGCATAGTCCACAGCCCCACTCGCGAGCCTGAACAGCAGGAGCACCACAGCTCCACAAGCAACAATCTTGCAGCCGCCCGCGTCCACCAGGCCATGCTAGGTTAGGTATGTTGGCTAACAAGAGGGGGAGAGCTATTGCTTGCTACCAAGAGCATGGAGTGAAGCCAAGTCGTTGCGAACGCACAACCCAAGCGCAACCACCGTGAGCACCAGTGCACAGCCGAGATCCATGTAGGGAGGCGCCCGAGAGCGGATGACAGGGGAGGAGAGTTCAACAGCCATTGGCAACCGGCATGTTGTACACTAGGACGTATGTGAAATTTACAAAAAGACTGAAGAGCCATATTTTTCTTCTACTATCATTAGTGAGTGATGATAGCTGGACATGCTCCAAGTGCATGAGACGCCCATGATAAAGCAAGAGGTGGAAAACCAAAAAAAAAATTGTGGGGGTTGAGGGGTGGGGGGTGAAGGCTGGCACACACCTATCATTACATTTCCCTGTTCTACAAAACTGAACAGATGAAAAACAATTGAATCAACCTGGGATACCAGCAGATTTCAAAGGATGCCTCCATTATTACTTTATAAATGTGGAAATTTTCCAGCAGAAAATAATTAAACTGATCTGTAGGACTGCAGCACAAGATAGAATTCTTTGAAAGAATCTTGCTGTTAACAACAGATTACCGTTCTTCATAGTTTCGAACAGGATGTCACAGTAATATCTGAATGGTGAGATCCTCAATACTCGGCATATATAGTCTGCAAGATGGTATGGGTATAACTGCAAAACATTATGTATGAAGTGAGATATTTGAGCTTTTCAGGTGAACTATTTACCATAGGAGAGCCATTCTTTGTAACAAGCTGGGTTGGGTTAGACTGGTTTCTGTGACATAAACAAAAATGACAGTTCCATGCAAGACGTAATTCCAAGTGCTGTTTCATCTTTCCAAGATAAGAGAATGTTGAATCATACCATATACCCAACAACCATCAGAACACATCAACAAAAGAGCAACATGAGCTTGCAGAAGCAATTACAGAAAAATAATAGAAACTGTAACTGGCAAGATACAGTATGAAAACAAGGTATCTAAAATCAAAGAGTAAATTCCACATTTTACCCGTTTGATGTTTACCTCATTTAAAGTTCTCTGCCACATTTTACCCCAAAGCTGTTACATTGTGTCAAGTTCAACCCAGTATAATAATTTGCGCCAATTTGGAGAGGCTAGGTCCACTTGTCAGGCTGACATGGCTGGTGACTAGCATTCCAACTAGGAAGCGTAAACCAGTTGGGAGTGTACTACCTACCCACACAACCTGACCGCCTAACCAGCAACCCCGCCCATGTGGAGTAACCAGCGAGTGCTGCCGGCGAGCTTTATCGCGTGTCGCCGCTCCTCCTTGCCGCTGTTTGCTCATCTCTAGCCCACCATGTAGTCTCACAGAGTGAATCTGGCTTGACCACACCACCAAACAGGTGCAGTCTACTGGGCTAAGGTGAGTCTGCGGATTATGCTGGTGGGCAAGAAAGCAGGTCTAGTCGTGCGGATAGGGAAGACGCACCGAGCTGGTTTGCGCTTTGGAGTTGGGATCCAATTCACTAGCCATGTCATCCAGACATGTGGGCCTAACTCGTCAAAATCAGAGAAAATTCATTAAATTGAAAAAACTTGACACGACGTAACAGCTACGGGTCAAATGTGGCAGCAAAATCCAAATGGGGTAAACACTTTACTGTCCTAATTTAGGTCACAAACTTAATAGTGTGCGCAGGACAGGTCAAGGTGACACCTGGGATAATCTCACTTGCCCAGGGGCCGATGTATCACATTCTATGTGTGGGTCTCTTGGAATATTGCAAAACACCCCACTGAACCTAGCCATAGCATTTTCTTCCTCCACTCTGTTCACCTTTATGTTAATTCTTGTGATTTGTCTTCTCTGACAAAGTGAACATGGAGACAAACAGGCTGGCCAGAGAGATAGAGAACATTCTGCTGCTGCGGCCAAGAATCGGCAGCTGGTGGAGGTTAGATTGCTTTGTTCTCCCAAAAAGAGAACATATTTATGGGGACAATGCAAAACTGACTCATTGCTGCCCTATATCTGCAACCTCGGCTACACGACACCATGACATGTTGATAGGCACGCACGACGCAGTGCAATGCAAGTGATTAGGTGCTGCCTTGTTCGGCATGATCTCGTGTATTATTCCAACCTCTCGCGTCACACTGTTAGACTTGGTGTGAGAAAAGGCATCAAATGAAGTTGGCGATGCATGCGTCTCGCAGTTGATGAACAAAAAGGCAGCCACCTTTGACGATTGTCCACCACCATCAGTACTCAACCGGTAAACTGTCTGGGGAAGATTGACGGTGCAGAAGATGAGAAGTTTGAGAAAAGGTGCAGCGATCAGGAGGGGGCAGTAGGGAAAAAAGATAGTGTGGCATGTCCAGCGGGTGGTGATTTTAAATTTCAGGAGGCCTGAGGCCTGAGCTTGGCACTTGACACTCAGGGTGGCACCTAATTGATCAGGACTGCACACAATGATCAAGTTATGGGACCGAAATGAAGACTTGTGAAGTTCTGTGACTTGGTTGCACCCAACACAAAAGATGTTGTATTCGCACTGTATTTTACTCATAACAGGTTGAAAAAAGGGTATAGTAATGCGCTAGTGAATGTTTATCAAGAGAGGATTGAAATTTTCCCTCAACAAGTGCCCAATCTTATGCAAAAAAAAAGGGCAACCTGGTGCATGTAGCTCCCGCTTGCGCAGGGTCCAGGGAAGGGTCCGACCACTTTGGGTCTATAGTACGCAGCCTTTCCCTACATTTCTGTAAGAGGCTGTTTCCAGGACTTGAACCCATGACCTCATGGTCACAAGGCAGCAGCTTTACCACTGCGC